GTGGATAAAATCCTTTGACATATCTTGAACATTTCTGAGTGAGTTGTCTCTGAATGCATTAATTTTATCGCACTCCAGTACATAATGACGCAGGGTGTTATTGGCATAATTTTTTTTTTTTCAAATAATTTTAAAAACTATATGTTCTAATAATTCAAGGTCCAGACGTATGAGACGTAATGACCTGAGAAGGTGGGCACGAAGGTGGGGTATTATTGTGACCTGGTGACCTTAAAGTCCCTCTTGACTCTGAGGTACATCAATATCAGTGAGTGTAAACTGTTTAATAATGTACCAAAGTTTCTTCACAATTGTGGAAAATTGCATTTAGCTGAATGTATCATTATATACATAACAGTAAATGAACATAGATAATTATTATTTATCAGTTAGACAAGTGGGAATTTGGGACACCTAGGTCGCAAAAAATGTCCCCCTTCGATACCTACCACTGTCATATCCACAAGTTGCTTTGGACCTATTAATTAAATGAATTATACATCACCAGAAATGCTGGTAAATATGTAAATTTGTGGACTGTATATTAAAATTAAAAAAGGATTATAGTATATACACACATTTATATAACAGAAGGAGAATATATCTTAATCATAACACTCACCAGTTTGACTGGAGATTAAGTTGTATCATACTCAGAAAACCTCACTGTCTGTACATGAAAATAACAACTGGCCAGAGTTATAACATAACAGACTTATCTGAGGTTCCTGGAGCTGTCTTATCCAGTCGCCTGATATCTCAAGTTATGCAGGAATGCACATCCAACAATTTCGCCTCCTATTTGAGAGGTGTCAACCCAATTTTAACCTCTAGAGCACGAAAATTCTTCACATTATTAATTAACGTCTTACTCCATTCAAACAAAATGGCGACTCTTTCTGCACAGGCGCAGCTTCCCGTTTTCTATGACATAAATATTATTAAATACAGTATGGCCATCTATTTACATATAACTACTGTATTTCTGGAAAATATATACAGTATTTTCCACAACAGTTATGGGGGTGAAATAATTCGGGACATTGCTTGTAAAATTTACCCGCATAATTTTTCACAAATACTTTGATTAACTAGCGGCATATATTCCACACGTGATCAACGTGGCATGTGTTGATGGAACAGAAAATTATTAGTCGTAGATATTAATGTTCATTATAGTTTATGATTAAAATAAGTATTGCCCGGATACTTTCGTTTTCTGTGAACCACAAATAAAAGAAAATGGGGACTATCCACATAATTAAGCGGGGACTCTAAATTAATTAATAATAATAATATAATAATAATAATATCTTTATTTACTACAAGTACATGTACAAGGTATTGACGAATGAGTCATATTTTTCTGCAAAAGATACAAAGTCTTTACAACAGACATTGTCCTATTTAAGATCACGAGTTTAGTGACTAATTTAAAGGGGCATTTATACTATTCAGACCCGTGTCAGGAAACACTGGTTGTGTTTCCTGACGAATAAAGCAACAACAGCAGGTTTAACACTGAGCTGTTTATTTTTCTCAGTGATTATCCTCATTCAAAAAAAGAGAGGAGTGATTTCTTGTATAGTTAAGATTTGTGTACCTATTATTGTCAGCTGATCGTCTCTTATTTAATGTTCATGTAAAGAACTCAGTTCACTTTATTCCTATTGTACCTCTTTTTACTGTAACTTACTTTCACACAGTTGAGTTACTTAGCTGTTTTATTTTTAAGGTTAAAATGATGATTGATTTATACTGTATCTTACAGATAGGCTTTAAATAATAAGATATTACATGGAACCCAATTGAAATAGGTTATCATCTATCTCTGAGTTACTAATGTTTTTCATTCTTCAGTCTTCGTCCAAGAAACATTACTGTGAGAAGAATTTAAACGTTTTATATCACATTTAAAATTACCGAAATACAGTAATTAAACATTATTTCCAAAAAGTTCAGTACAGTATTCATTTGACATAGTATTAACTTAGATGTATAAACTACTTTTTAAAAAGCCTTATTATTATTATTATTATTATTATTATTATTATTATTATTATTATTTGTTATGCGGAGCGCTTCGAATCTTTAAGATTAACATGTGAAAATTTGTGTGGACTGCCTCCAAGTGAATCGCGTACCCTGGCAAGCTCTGTTGACACCGAGCTCTGAGGTCGGTACCTCAGCCTCACAAGTGGCTTATAGGACAGATTTTCATAAATGACTGATGTTGCAAGAAACTCGCCTGCATGCACGTATAAAGGACTAACTTGGTGTTGCAGCATATACGTATCCTGATCTTCAACCTCCCTAAGCTTAGCCCCTTTGGACTTCCCCTCAGAAACCACGTGCAACCGGGAGCCTTAATTCCTGCAATATTCAATCGTTATTAGTGACCTGCCTGCACCTCAGAAATTCCTATATCCAAGGGGGTGTGTATCCCCTAGTATAACTATGCAGACACGGACACTAGCTTCTAGACTGACAAGGGACGCTGGTACGTACTGGGCATGCACTACCAGCTGCACAAAGGCCCACAGTTCAACTCACAGCTTTCCCCAGAAACTGGCCAGAATCCCACGAAAGAGTGGAGGTCTTGTCTTACTGTATGGGCCTGACGGAGGAGGTCATCTACGGTACATCGAGGTGCCTCTACCAGATTTCCCCAAGTCTCATATGTGAAGACACGTGGGGGGCGCCGTCTGCTGATCACGGCACGTCTTGTCCAGGTGATGTCTGGTCAAAGAAGGGCGAGCTACGTCTTCCAGACCCGCGTCTCGTGGTGCAAACTAGGGCTGCCAGTTCTCCTTAGCTAACTTAACCTAGTGTTTGCCTACATTATCGGCCTATTACTACCTATGTTAAGGTCTTAGGTCTACATTATTATTATCTACAGTTGCCTTAATAATCCTAATATTAGTGTACTAACAGTAAAATTACCTACTTCTTCCCAGAAGGGTAAATCTATAAATTAAATAGTACCTCCCATCCACCTTGGCCAATTCGGGAGAGTGTGTTTGTGTTTTGGGTTGGGTGTAAGGGCCACCGAACGGTGTGTTTCTCCATTGGGACTTCTCGGACCGAAAAAGTTCCAACATAACATATCCCTACTACTACTAACGATCGTTGAGGGGGTGTAGCTCAGTGGTAGAGCGTTCGCTTTGCATGTGAAAGGTCCCGGGTTCGATCCCCGGCACCTCCAGTCCGGGGGATGTAGCTCAGATGGTAGAGCGCTCGCTTAGCATGCGAGAGGTACGGGGATCGATACCCCGCATCTCCATATTTTGGAGGCTTGTACTAGGACTGGGCCGTAGAGGCGGTGACTACGGTAAATGACTCCGGGTAATACTGAACACTTGTTTAATTAGATTATCTTTACTAGAATGCTGCGGTTTGTAATCATTAAGTATGTAACAGTTTGGTAGTGTGAATACATTACAGCATCACCAACTCTTCAAAGGTAAGGTAAAGGTATGAACCAAGTTGCGGGGCGTTGACCCCCGGAAACCCCTCTCCAGGTTACTTGCTCACTGTGCATCTGCAGTTCCTGTGAGTGACGCAAATTTATGAAACTGATGCAAAATTTATTCGTCAACGTCAAATTTATATAGTTGACGCCAAATTTATATAGCTGACGCCAAATTTATATAGCTGACTCCAAATTTATATTGGCGCACAATGTATATAGTTATTGCAAAATCTGAATGCCATCTCGAGATGTCATATCTCATGAACAATAAAATGATGTAGTGGATATACTACTGTAAACTGTTATTATTATTATTATTGTTATATAAGGGAATAATTAAGCCCTTAGGAGCCATATAGCGTCATGGGAATGAGAGACAATCAGGTTTGATCCAAGGACGGGAAGAGTAGCTTCAATTCTTCAAGAGCTCCTCACCAGCACAAGGCGCCACTCTTAAAGGAGCAAAGGCAGTTAAAATCATCCAATATAGAAGATGGAGTCTTCAGTGCTGTCTCAACTCTGCTGTCACTTCTGTACGGAGACAGTAGTTTTTTTTCCTTTTTTTTTTTTTTAGCCCTGATAGGTTTACTGTGTTTGCAATATTGGTGTCTGGATAAATATATTTCATTATTACATGAATGGTATATAATACCACCAAATTTATGAATAAGACACGTGTGCCAACCAGTGGAATTTTCGGCCCAATAGATAGACGACTGATATCTCTTTCATGGCTTCCAGGATATAATCACGGTATCGGACTGTAAAAAACCACTTGTTGGTGCAGCGGGTACATAAAGTTACCCAAGTGTTGAACATATATCTTACACACAAATAACCCGCACATAAAAGACAGAAGCTTATAACGACGTTTCGGTCCGACTTGGACCATTTACATGTCACACTAATACACGAAGGTTCAGGGGCCGGAATACACGTCTTATTCACACTGCAATCTTTTTACTGGAAAAGTTGCCCGCCCAGAGGGAAGACTTTGACAGAGTAACACAACCTATTTATACGTTCCGATAATCGTGTTACCCTTATTTAGAGTTCCACCTCCCAAGACTCCTCTGACCTGCTTTCCTAAGCTTCTAATCTCATTTGTTCTCTTCTTAGCCGTAAGCTTACCTAACTACGTCACTGGCTTGTTAGGTACCTACTGAAGCATTTTATTTTAGTTTCCTCGAGTTTAGCCGCTAGTGATTAGATTAATGGCGCATATAATTCCCACACCAGACAATGCAGAATTAGTCCATGAAACTTAAGCACAAGTTAACACCATCCATACGAGTCCAAGTCAGCCCCAAGATATAAACAGTACTGTACTCCACTTAACACAGTATACCAAAGAAAGTTGAGCACTGAAAAATCCCAATTAAAATAAATGCATAGAAAATATTTAATTTATATAGATACTTTCACAAAACTACTGTTATTTAAAAATATTTAGACCAGGAGCCTGGTAACTTTCTTATGATATTTACCACAAATATGTATCATTGTTGGAACAAAAAGAAATAACACAAAATTTTGATGTCATATATTTATACTGGTGTTTAACAATAAGATAAATAGTATAGGAGTATTTAGTACCAAACTGAATTATCGCTAAGAATATCGTGTAAACATTCAAACACTACTGAATGGTTTATAGATCTAAGCCAAATAAGAGAAGAGTAGTTGATGAGGATCCTGACGACCAGGTCTGTGTATCAGTGGTACCTCACCACCTCTCCTTTGAAAGAATTCCAAGATATTACCGTAAGATTCTTTACTGTGGAGGTTATGTGACGACTGGATAATACTCTAAAGGCCGGAATGTTTATTTAAATTTAAATTCACACTACTAATCTCATCGTAGGTTTTTACGGATAATATTGAATCAAGAAGTGTTTCACTGCTCAGCACTAATGTTATTTTTTAAAGTTGTACATTTAGGTCAAAGGTTCACTAATCATGACCAAATACAGAGCAGTGGAGTTAAGGTCTTTATCAACGCGTTACGATGCTTATCAGTTGCTTTGAAGTAATTAAAGCTGTAATCCACTTAGTTACTATCCATTAAATATATCTTAATGACTTACACAGGAGTTAAAGTAATCTCTTAGTATGGATAAAGACACTTATGCAGTTTAAAACATTTAATGAAGAAATGTTTCACCACGAGCGGCTTCTGTCTTAACATAGAGACTACTGAAACAAGCAGTGTACTGTATATAGTACAAGGAATCAGGTGAAAAGGAGCAAATTAAGAAGCGGAGATTAAATATACATGAATAACCAGAGACAGTAGTTGTGACCTCTCTGGTTGGTGTCATGTAGCTGCAATATTCAGGTTGGACAGCTGGTTTACCAAGATCTTGAAAATACTGTAGCTACCGGATTTTTGTGGAGATGGTGACAGCTGTCATGTCAGCTTCTAAATACTTACGTCACACAGGCCATTTTCTCGAATTACTGGCTTGGTTTCTCGCCATTTCATGAGGTGGCCCTGTGCACTATGATGTTGTGGACACGTTCTGGTCGCCACAGTGACATGCATATTTATGTTGTCGTATTCTTAATTCCAGGCATCTCGATGTTTCACCCACGCTCTTCTTGATACTCTGCCTACCAGGTATGATATACACTCCAGCATGTTAACTGTGTTGTCAATCTGTTTAATTTTTACCAAGCCTTCGACAGAGGTTGAAGAGTTAATAGCTATGTAGAAGTGGCAAGTTTAAAAGAATTACTAACACCTCTCAATGCATATTTTAAATGGTATTTGGTCACGACATGCTTTACTAGTGATTAACTGCAAGGATGGTTAGAGGAGCGAATATCGATTTCGTTTTCGTTCGTTCGATGAGGTTGACTACAGTGGTGAACGAGGTGTTGGCAAGGCCAAGGGAAGATAGACTGTTCGATGTGGCACAGTGACTGCCTAAAATAGATGCCAGTGGGAAGACAAAGATGTGACTAGAGTCGCTTTAGAAGAATTTAAAGCTGGTTGTCTACACTCTTTCCACGGCGCAGACGAGCGAAATCCTCGAATTCAATGTCATCAGCCTTGGACTGTAGAGAACCTGTAAGTGAAATCAGAGAATGAAAATGAGATGCAGTTAAGTTAATACTGACACAAGATGATGACTATTTAAATTCAACTATTGTTAAACGTCAGAATCTCTACTCAAATCCAAAAGTTTTCCTTGGGATTTACTATTCAAAATAAACTGAACTTTACCGTTTTAAATAAAATTAATTGTTTCTGAATATTACTGTCTTATTAACAATGGTGGAAAAAATCGAAAGGAATTTAATTTCAGCACACTACAAAAGTTTAACGTAAAACAATAAATATCAGCTCAGGTTTGCATTTTGTAAGTAGATTATAACTTGAGGGTACACACTCGGGCCTGGATGCATGAGTTTGAAGGGCAAGTCAGCCACCAGGTCGCCAGCCAGGGCACCACAATTCAGCCGTACTCTGACACTGTAGGATACAACGATACCCAGAGCATCGTTGGGGTTGCTGCCCTCTTTTAGTACTGTAGAGGAGGCCAAGTTGGCGTCGGTGTCCTGTTAATGGAAATACATAAATAAGTTTTTTCTCTACTCAGTGTCCTAGTCTATTTGATCTCAAAAAAGAAAATTATTATAATCACGCCTGGGAGTAGGAAGTAACCAGGTTTAATGCCCTGAAAGGTAGCTCAAATTCCTTAGATGAAGAGCCCTTTGCCAACATTAAGGCACTCCTTTAAAGTGTCTTGAGAGGAAAAAAGCTTCAAGCAAGTTTACTTTCACTTGACAATTTATTTTTAATATGGTTAAATAAGATTGATAGAACATTACCTTAGTCCTGCCATCAAGAGCTATGCCAAACTTGCTCATATTAGCTGCGAGGGGAGTAATGTAGAAGGTCTTCTGGTAGTGATCACCTGGTTGCAGTGGACAACCTTCTTTGGTCTCCAGCGAGGCTACCTGCAGCAAGCATGCAAAGAAATGGGAAACCATAAGTTGTTGTTGCTAGTACATGTAACTCAAATCTCATTTTTGTTGTGTGGCTTCAGCGTTATCCACGGAACCAAGTGCGATTACTGGCGAACTCTACACTTCTGAAATTTCTTTACCTCGGAAACTGTCTCTTATTAAAATGCATATGAAGTCTGTTAGTGATAATCACCATTATCATCCATTACTTGATCATTGTACAATGGTTAGCATGCAATGTCTTACCTCACGGGTCATCTGGCCATTGATCATGGTGACTTCGATGTGCTGTACTATGGAACATTTCATTGATTTTACTGATTTCTTGCTGTTGTTGCTGATGAGTACCTTGGGAGTGACTTGTTCCCCATGGTAGAACAACTCCTTGTCTAAGCTCACCTCCACGTTCAGTTTCCCGGAAGAGAAGGTAAAGCCCTTGGAGGCAAGGGTGCTAGGTTGCCGAGTAAAGCGGTCAGCAGAGGAGTATTGAACTTTCCTGATGGCCAGAGTAACGGAGTTACGTCTGTGGGGCTTTTCTTCAGGATTGTCGGCAACGAAGACTTTCAGCTCATAGATTACTCCCAGGGGCTTTGTCTGCATAATGGCAGTAACATAATTATTTTGAATTAGAAATCATCAGAGATATGTAATAAGTATACGTACAGTAAGTAAGGTTGTGTTTTTACAGATTGTTGTTTGATGAAGAAATTTAAACAGATTCGCCTTTTTTAATATATTTTGGTTTTAAAACTTATCTAAAACACAATAATCTTAATAAACTGGAGATGATTGCTTTGTCCTGATGACTTCAATAATTTGCATGCATAAGGATGTGTATGTATAAAGACGTACCAGTCGTATACAGTAGCGAAGTATTTCAGAGAACAGTTTACATAATTTAAAGGCACTGACAACTCATGAGTACAATACAGTTAACTCAGTAAAAAAAAAAAACAGACTAGAATAAACCTAATCAGAAAACATTCAGAGAAATAAAACTTTAACATCCTTGTTACAATATAAACTGATATAACCGGGAAAATAAATCTTACTGATTCTTCAGAGCCGGGGTGGAGTTGGACGGAACAAGGAGCGTTTTCAGGCAGGGTAACGGCGAAGGGATAGGCATTGTGACCTAGTTTCTTGAGGAGTCTATCCTGTACGTCGGTCAGTTTTGTTTCCATAGGTTTTGAGTAGATCTCCTGGCATGCGAGCTGAAATTCTTTGCTGAAGTGCAGTCCCATAACCTCGTCCTCCTCGCGGCCGAAACGGTACGTGACTGTAACCTGAAAGAAACCAGGAATGTTAGTGTGTACTCACCTGTTTGTGGTTGCAGTGGTCGATCACAGCTCCTGACCCCAAAGCTGTGTGTGTGCTTGAATTTGAATGATTCGGCGGTACATGTCCCGGCCCAGGTATTTTCCAGATGGTGACCCTGCATGTGTGTGTGTGTGTGTGTGTGTGTGTGTGTGTGTGTGTGTGTGTGTGTGTGTGTGTGTGTGTGTGTCTGTGTGTGTGTGTACTGTTCTGCCTTCAGTAAGTTATTCATATTTTTGTTTAAATTTCTAATGGTTGTAGCACTGACTACAACTTGTAATTCATTTCGCTAATCTACCACTTTGTAAAGCAAAAATTCCTAGTATCCCATCGGCTCCACTTTTTTCTCAGTTTACAACTATTGCTGTTGCTGGTTCGAAAAGTTTCCTTTATGTAATTGCCAGCCAATGCGGCCATCTTTAATACTTTCAACCTTTTATCATAACTCACATATTTTCTTAACTTTTGTAGCTCTTCTTTGAACCTTTAGTAACGTATATACAAGTTTTTTAGGTTTGGACACCACGCCATGGCTGTATATTACATTTTTGGTATACATGCTATAAACAGTTTTTTTTTTTTTGAGCATTTCTCCGCCGTTACATTTAGAAGCTAGAATACCATATGAATTATTCACAATTTAATTTATATGATCTTTCAGTGACATTTTTTTTATTAAAATTACTCTTGGAGCCTTTTTCCAATGGCATGATTTCACTTTCTTCCAATTCTGTTGCCTGGAGTCTACCTACCTGGAGCTTTTTCCGGGGGTCAACGCCCCCGCGGCCCGGTCCAGACCAGGCCTCCCGGTATATCAGAGCCTGATCAACCAGGCTGTTACTGCTGGCGGCACATAGTCCAACGTACGAACCACAGCCCGGCTGATCCGGCACCGACTTAAAGTATCTGTCCAGCTCCCTCTTGAAGGCAGCCAGGAGCCTATTGGTAATTCCCCTTATGCATGGTGCGAGGCTTTTGAACAGTCTTGGGCCCCGGACACTTACGAAGTTTTTTCTTAGTGTACCAATGGCGCCCACTTTTCATTGGGGGTATTTTGCACCGCCTGGCCAGTCTTGTACTTTCGTAGGGAGTGATTTCTGTGTGCAGATTCGGGACCATTCCTTCTAGAATTTTCCAAGTGTAGATTATGATATCTCTCTCCTGCGTTCCAACGATTACATGACATTTACGTAAATTATGTTTCATCGTCCACCTATCATTACATTTAGTCAATTCATACAAACCGTCCTGAAGAGCTTTACAACTCTTTTTAGTATTTATTGTACCTAATATTTTTTGTTTTATCATTTGTAAGCGTGTATAAATAAAAATGTGGAGATGCGGGGTATCGATCCCCGCACCTCTCGCATGCTAAGCGAGCGCTCTACCATCTGAGCTACATCCCCGTGACTGGAGGTGCCGGGGATCGAACCCGGGACCTTTCACATGCAAAGCGAACGCTCTACCACTGAGCTACACCCCCTTATTATTTGGTTCGGTGATTGCAGTATTTCTATTTCGTCCAGAAAATGTGGCACATTACAGAGTAATATCCTAGGATCATTTGGCGAACTTTTTCGAGCTTCGTTATTTGCTCTACAGATGCCTCCATGCGGGTGCCGTGTACTCGAGAATTGGTCTAAGATGTGTAACCCCTTGAAAGATTCCTTGTGTATGTTCCTGTATGAGTTTATTTTTATCACTCGTATATATGTTTGATATTCTTCAGTGTATATACAGCTCAGGAAATATGTTATTTCCACTCCCTGTGCTTTTCTTTATCTGAGCCCTGAAAATTTCCATGTGATATTTTTCCACTGGTCTCCTGTTCTTCGACTCGTTAATTTGCACTTAGGTAGATCACACAAGTCAACCGGAACCGACAAATGTATAATAAAGACACAAGTTCGTCCTTATCAACGAACGAATACGCACAAGAATCTGTCCCTTGTAGTGTGTCGTTGTCTTCGTATACAGCAACACTGAGTCCTAGTATTGATCCTTAAGAGACTCCACTTATTACTGTTGGCCATCCTTACACTCCATCCTTTGTATGTCTTCCAGATGCTCCAGTGTGCATCAATGTACTTCAAGGGGATATGAATTGGTGGTCGTTAAAACAACAAAATGAAATACTTTTGAAACGGTGATTAAATCTTCTGAAACGGCAACTCGACAATTAAATGACAAAGAATTATTTTTGAAAGGAAAATGTAAAATAGCATCATTCTTGGATCAAATTTAGTTACCTCCTGTTCCCTGGGCGCTGTATAACTCCAGTAGGCTTTGCGCTTCCCCAGGAATATAATCTGTACGTCTTAAGAATACACAGACCACCCTTCTTTGTCTCATCAAATTCTACTGCCTATTTGATTTACCTTTCCAAACGTAAGCTGGCATTTCATGACCAGTCCTCTGCTCTCCAGGTCTTCTACAAATATCTTCAATGTCGTTTTTTCTGTGCATGAGATGCAAGTTGTTTACAATCGTGTCATTACGATTTCACCAGTAATAAGTTTTTTTTTTTCTTATTCGCCGGTACTCTACTCTCCCGGCCCGTAATAAGTATGTATATAAATAGGTACAGTATTAAAATAACGTTAGTCAACTCTGGCTATGTAAATTGCATTAGTTTATAAAAGGAATATGTATTATCAATTAACTGCTTTGCAAACTTTCATAGTTTATAGAAAATGTATATTTTTACGTTAATCGTGTTATTTATTGGTGAATTCCCTTTTGTCAGAATTTTCTCTTCATTAACTGAGACGCACCCAAAGTGAATACTATATGGATTGTGAAGTGTATGTCTCAGTGCATATATGTTTAGACATTACTTTAATCCGTAATTTAGGAATTTAATCATTCTTGACTGGTAGTAAACAGGTGATTTAATAACTCGTGTAATCGATAGGTTTCAAGCATCATTAAGCAACCACGCTAACCAGTGAATACTCACGGAGGCGTAAACCCTGCGGCCCCGGAGGTAGTCATCATCAATCACTACTACGCCATCAATGGGCTCAGTCTTGATGGTTGTATCCACGAAGTCCCGGCGACCGAGGTACACTGTGGTCTTCCCTGCCAAGTAGAAAATACAAAGTTAAAGCAGCGTTCTGCTGAGAAGACAAAGGTGCAGGACACGATTTTCTGGTAACAGCGTTTCACTCTAGTGCTTTTTAAAACGCTGTCACAATCAAGTCACTGTAACTGTGTCTTCATCACGGTACAAGGAGGCGAACACGGAATGTTACTACATTTTTTTATACTAAATAGGCCATTCATACCGTATATATAATAATAATCTCACAACTGACACAGATTGGAGATGAAACTAGATAATTGTTCAGAATGGCCGAAACGTTGTTCAATTTAATTTAATTTGTAGACTGTGACTTTCCACCTACGGTATTGTAACTTTCATCCTTCTGTTTGAGAAAACTTAACTTCAGAATTTCGTTTTGAAAGTCCGTTATGAATTAGTGGACAAATTGCTCGTCACGGTCATTAAGACATTGATTTGGAACTTTTAATGGGAACAAACATGCTCAGTACTCGTGTGCCTCAGTAAAGCTACCGCAACCTGCAATATAGCTCTTACCTGTATTTTTTTGTACCTCTGTATGTATGCTAAAATTACTGAATAAATAAATAAATAAATAAAATATAAATAATATGTATATTATGATAATAACCAACTAAAAATCATTCATAATTGACAAGGTTATATATGTCGATAGGTATATACCTTAATACTCGCATATATACGCTGAGTTTAATCCGTATTTTAGGGATTATGTATCCATCACTGGTGGTAAACAGGCCACGTGCAGAGGTAATAGCTCTTTGTGTAGTTGATAGGCTTTAAACCTAATTAGCCAGCCATCATCCCTCTAATGATGAAGAGCGATCACTGTGTCACATGAACCTGACTCTGAACATTAATTTTCACTGTGATTTCAACTTGAAACACTTAAAATGGTAAACCAAGTTAGCACTGTGATGACAGGGAGGGTCCATGAAGGTAGTTCACTTGAACACGCATGAACAATGAATAATGAGACATTCATCTCATACCAGGAAGTATAATATTGTACCTCCAGGTGAGGCTACACAAGTTGTACCTCCAGGTGAGGCTACACAAGTTGTACCTCCAGGTGAGGCTACACAAGTTGTACCTCCAGGTGAGGCTACACAAGTTGTACCTCCAGGTGAGGCTACACAAGTTGTACCTCCAGGTGAGGCTACACAAGTTGTACCTCCAGGTGAGGCTACACAAGTTGTACCTCCAGGTGAGGCTACACAAGTTGTACCTCCAGGTGAGGCTACACAAGTTGTACCTCCAGGTGAGGCTACACAAGTTGTACCTCCAGGTGAGGCTACACAAGTTGTACTTCCAGGTGAGGCTACACAAGTTGTACCTCCAGGTGAGGCTACACAAGTTGTACCTCCAGGTGAGGCTACACAAGTTGTACCTCCAGGTGAGGCTACACAAGTTGTACCTCCAGGTGAGGCTACACAAGTTGTACCTCCAGGTGAGGCTACACAAATTGTACCTCCAGGTGAGGCTACACAAGTTGTACCTCCAGGTGAGGCTACACAAGTTGTACCTCCAGGTGAGGCTACACAAGTTGCACCTCCAGGTGAGGCTACACAAGTTGTACCTCCAGGTGAGGCTAAACAAGTTGTACCTCCAGGTGAGGCTACACAAGTTGTACCTCCAGGTGAGGCTACACAAGTTGTACCTCCAGGTGAGGCTAAACAAGTTGTACCGCCAGGTGAGGCTACACAAGTTGTACCTCCAGGTGAGGCTACACAAGTTGTACCTCCAGGTGAGGCTACACAAGTTGTACCTCCAGGTGAGGCTACACAAGTTGTACCTCCAGGTGAGGCTACAAAAATTATACTTTATGTAAAGCTACAAAAACTACTTTCTGATAAAGCTACAAAACTTATACTTTACGGTAAAGCTACGAAACTTAAACCTTCAGCTAATGCTACAATATGTATAACTTCAGGTAAAACTACAAATGTATCAAAGCTAAAAAAAATTTGTCTCAACTCGCACAGCAAATCTTTAAACAGATAACCAATTTCTGTTTCGTGTTAATATCTCAGTGTAGGATCTTGATATACGTATTTAATTAGGGGAATAATTTGTACGAAAAACATTCATAAAGGAAGCTAAATTCTGATGGCTTTAGATTGAACATAGTGAAGATTTACAGCAAGACAATAATTATCAGCTTAAAATATTTATATTGGTATAAAAAATGCCTAATTTAAATTTAATTTTACATTAATATATGATTAAAATACAGTATATATTCTAAAGGTGTAGCACTCTCGAGGTATATACACTGAGAATAGCAGTATATATACACTGAAAGTTTCATATCTCAGTGTATATACTTAGAGTTTATCTTAAGCGCTATTTTCGGGATTAAAGCATTTTTGACTATTGGTTTACAAATTACATGTAATCTCAATGACGCTTGTTTAGTCGATAAACTTTTAAATCTATAAAGCCAAGAGAAATCTGAAAAAAAAAATTGTGTAATTGCTGCCATACATCTAATCCATTTAAACAAATCCCATAAGCACATAGAAATATTAAACCACATACCATTGGGGGCAGTTTTCTTGAAGACTTTCACGGCGTTCACCATCGAAAAGTTGGAATAGATCAACTAAGGATCTAGAAAATATAAGTGGAACAAACGAGAGGTAGGTTGTCCGGCGAGAACTCTGACGGAGTGAGCGAAAATTGGCCGAGTGGGAGATTATATAGCTGAAGATCAATCCAGTTAGTACCCAGGAGGAAGAGTGGAGATTAACACAGTGACAGCTGGTGTAACTGGATTACTGTATATGCAGCGGCACTCTGCCTGCTGCAGCCTTAAAAAAAAAAAATCCTTCTCCCCAGTTACAAGGGATTTGGGGATTTTTGCCTGAAATGTTTAAATGTAGGCTTCTGCTGTTATATATAATACTTCCTGTAAATAATGTAAATTGGGAACATACACGAATGAACACCGTGGAAACTGTCAGCGAATGTATTTGTAGTAAACTTCAGTTCAATTCCTTGCATTACTAGAAATATATATATATATATATATATATATATTATATATATATATATATATATATATATATATATATATAATATATATATGCGGCAAGGGCCTACATCAGGGACCTACCAGAAGACAAGGCCGTAGTCAAACTTGATTTTAGAAATGCCTTTAATATGGTGAAGAGAGATGCTGTCTTGCCAGCTGTTCGGGATCGGTTCCCCAGTCTTTTTCCCCTCATTTCAGCCGGCTACAGCAAACTCTTAATTCTTTTGTTTGGAGAACATGGAATTCTCTCATCAGAAGGTGTTCAGCAGGGTGACCCACTAGCTCCACTTCTTTTCTGCTTGGCAGTAAGAGAACTAACTTCAGCCTACGCAGCGAGCTCAACATCTGGTACCTGGATGATGGCACTCTGGCAGGTACTGAAGAGTCCCTGGTAGGGGACCTACAACTGGTGAAAACTCAGGGAGAAGACTTGGGACTCATCCTCAATCCCTCCAAGTGTGAAATCACGGCGAACCAGGAAATAATCGATGCTGTGCGAAGAATCCTCCCAGAAGTCTCTATTGCCACTCCGTCCGACAGTACCCTCTTGGGAGCACCGCTGGTTCACCAGGCCATCGACACAGTCCTCAAGGACAAATTGAATGACCAAAGGTCTATTGGTCTTCTTATGCATGTGGTGTGCACAGGGTTCAGTGTTGGCACTCCTTTTGTTCATAATCTACATAAACGACATTGATGAGGGAATAAATAACGACATAAGCAAGTTTACCGATGACTCTAAAATAGATCATCAAATAATTTTTGATGACTGGATGACCTGAATAAGTTGATGTGGCCAGAGAAGTGGCAGATGCATTTAAGTGCACACAAGTGTAAGGTTCCAATATTAGGAAAAGGAAATATTTTCTGCTGTACTAATTATAATAATAATAATAATATAATATAATAATAATCTTTATTTCTATAAAGTACATAATACAATTGATGTAGGGTTAGTTGACATTTTTGGCATCCTTTATAGAAAGCTGGTTATCCAGAGCATTTCCAGCATTCTTAAAAATAACTTAAAACTACGAACATATAAAACTAAGTTGATTTACATGAATGGTAAAGTTTGCAATCCTTGACATTAACCATTTGGTTTATGATTATAATATTTTGGGATATTTTGTTAGACAACTGTTATATTGGTTGTAGTAGTTGTTACAGATCTTGAAATAAATTGGCAAGAGAACAATAATATGAATATTTATATATGGATAATATTACAATTGAAAGTCTAGTATGATATGGTAAAGGACTTATATAAGAAAAATAAAATTTAACTTTTTAATATTTGGTCTTGTTTCACTGGGATTTAATTACCAATTTGAGGCGGTTAAGCATAAAAGCTGAGTTTTATTTTGTAGTAAGACAAGTCCATTTCTTAAATCCGGGTTATTTTTTTAATCTGCGCCTAGCATGGCACTGATGATTTTTTTTTTTTTTTTGGATAGTGCTCTGTTTTCGTTTCATTTCAACAATTGTCGATGAGATTCAGGTGAAGGTTGTTTCCTGACCTCTGGATAACATTGATATGGTTCTCTTGTAACGGTGCTCTCAGTAGTACTACCAGTTCCTAGTAACCAGTTACCAGTAACCAGTGTACCAGTAGATGACTCACTACCAACCGTCTGTGTGAATCATTGACTGTATTCATATTGCTGCTGACCATAGCAGGATTTAAAACACCCTCACCCTGTAGACACTTGTGAGTCAGTTGCAGTTAGGCAGCAGAGAGAGACAGGTCGGCTGTTGACGCTTTCCATACTTCCCGTTATATATTATACGTACTACCAGCCTACATGAGTATTTTTACCCATCCACGTATCGAAAACCCACATGACAAATGGTGGCACCGGTATGGGCGTGGATTTAAGGGTATTTCAGACGTTAGAAGACTGTTTGTGGGTTGCCGGCAGGTCAGAGGTGAACCGTCTCAGCCACCTCCAGCTCCAGCCTGCAAGCCTGTTGCAGCCGTTTTTCAAGCTTCCTGGCTTAGTTCGTGTGCTAATTGCTTCAATCTCCGAGGGGTTGACCCGGATTTTGCAATTAAGCCAGTCAATAAGCCAGACTGTGGAAGTGAATGCCAGTCAGCCTGCCTCAGCCTACCATCCAGCCTGTCTCTTGTCATCCACCTGCTCCTTCATGTTGTGTGCATCGTTACACGTCTTCCAGTCAGCCATTCTCGTGGGTTAAGCCAGTCAGCCAGCCCAGCTTCCTAACCCAGCTGAGAGAGAGAAGTAAGCCACGCAAGTTCCTCTGAGGTATTGTCTCATATATCGCTTGTGCTTGGATGCTGGTAAGAGTGGTCTTCATCATCCCTGTGGCATTGTGATTTAGTTAAGCCACCTTGTGCGTGGTGAGAAGTGAGTGGCAGTGAGAGCGCACAGGGCCAGCTTGTTCCGCTGCCCCCACTACCACCCGCCCCTATTCACTCATCTACCTGTGGGGTTTTCCACCCTTGTACCGGGTCCTAGTACTGTTTTGGCTCACATAATTGGTCAAGAGATTGTAGGTGGCGCCAACGATAAAGCCAGTTATGTGAGTTCACCTAGAAAGCGCATCCCTTCCGACGACAGAGTGTAGGAGGCGTCATCACCACACAGGACAACCTTACCCTCATCACTAGTCATTCCGTCTTCTACTCCAGACTTCAGTGATAATTTTCTGTTTAGAGACATTTTCCTGCATTTAAAGACATTTGCGTGTGTGAGACATTTACGTGAATTTCTTGTTCTCAAACCCTTTGTGTTTTCATGTGATCAGTGTTTCTTTGACTCATTTTTTTTTGCATTTTTTTTTCAGTGTTATCGCTCATCTTTGGTTTCATTTTAAATTTTTATCTGTTTTTTTTTTATGTACTCTATGTCGTAGTAAGTATTATTGTGTAGTGTCCCCAGCAGTCACTCCGTGTGAAGTATTATTTTTTTTTTTATTTTACTTGTGTTTTTCAGCATTGTATTCTCCGGAATTTGTCGTCTACCAAATTATCCATTTATTTTTTTGTGTGTCTTTTTTTCGTCCCGCAGGTCTCATTCCCTGACTTTTCTCAGTTGTTCCCATTTTTTTCAGAAATTTTTGTCGAAATTACAGCAGATTTTGTTGTAAGAATTACAAAAAAAAATAAATACGTGAATTGTTGTGTGCCCGCCATTGTAAGGTTTTTGTGCCCCGCCTTGTAATGTTGTGTGCCCCCACTTGTAAGTGTTGTGTCCCCCGCCATTTTAAAGTGTGGGTCCCCGCCACTTGTAAGGTTGTGTCCCCCGCACTTGTAAGTGTTTGGCCCCCCCACTTGTAATGTTGGGCCCGCCACTTGAAAGTGTTGGTGCCCGCCACTTGTAAGTGTTGTGTGCCCCACCACTTGTAAGTTTTGTGTGCCCTGCCATTTGTAGTGTTGGTGCCCCCCCACTTGTAAGTGTTGTGTGCCCCGCCCTTGTAAGTGTTGTGTCCCCCGCCACTTGTAAGTGTTGTGTCCCCCGCCCTTGTAAGTGTTGTGTACCCGCCATTGTAAGTGTTGTGTGCCCGCCATTTGTAGTGTTGTGGCCCCGCCCACTTGTAAGTGTTTTGTGCCCTACCCTTGAAAGTTTTGTGTCCCTGCCACTTGAAAGTGTTGTGTCCCCCGCCACTTGAAAGTTTTGGTGCCTCCCCACTTGCAAGTTTTGGGTGCCTCCCCACTTCAAGGTTGTGTGCCCCCCATTGTAAGTGTTGTGTGCCCCGCCACTTGAAGTGTTGTGTGCCCCCCCCTTTGTAAGGTTGGGGCCCCACCACTTGAAAGTTTTGTGTGCCCACCATTTGTAGGGTTGTGTGCCCTGAAAATTGTAGTGTTTGTGCCCCGCCACTTGAAATTTTGTGTGCCCTCCCATTGTAAGTGTTGTGTGCCCACCACTTGTAAGTGTTGTGTGCCCTCCCCTTTGAAAGTGTTGGGGCCCCCCACCACTTGAAAGTTTTGTGTCCCCGCCATTGTAAGGGTTGTGTCCCCTCCCCACTTGTAAGTGTTCCTTTCCCGTTTTGTTCTTTTTTTATTTTTTATTCTATTTTTCATATTTCTTTGAAAAATTCCTTTTTTAGGTGGTGTTTTTCTTTTTTTACGAAAAGTGTTTTTTTACTCGAGTAAATTTTTTTGCTAATTTAAAATTTAAAGAGTTAAAGTGTTCAATCAGTTTTTTTTCTATTTTTTTTTTTTATTTCCCACATTTCCCCAGTGTAATTTTTACTGCTTTAAATTTATTTCTGCACCTTTTTTTGTTGCACTTTTTGCGGAAATTATTTTGTTGATTGTTCTGCAGTGAATTTTTTTTGTTGCACTTGTTTGCAGTGATTATTTTGTTGCACTTGTTCTGCAGTGAATTATTTTTTTTTTTTGATATTTTTTGCATTATTATTCTCTTTTATTATTGCTCTTGTTTTTCTTTTTATTATTTTTCTCTGTTGTCTTTTATTATATTTTTTTTTTGTTTATGCTTTCTTGAAAATTTTTAAATTTCCCCTTTTATCTCTCTTTTGCATATAATTTCGTGATTTTATTTTTCTTTTTACTTGTTTTACAATTTTATTAGTTAATTTCTTTATTAGCAAGAGTAAGAAGTCATTTTTGCATTTAATTTCGTCTCCAGTTTTTTTTACTTGTAAATTCAATGTAATTTTTTTTTTGTCCAG